CAGCTGATACCACCAAATCATCGTCACATCTCATCGACAGGTCGAGGTCGACGCCCACCCCCTGTTTCGTAACGTTTAGCAGCTGGCCCATGGGGAACCGTAGAGCAATCGGTTCGGCGCCTGGGATCTTGACCCTGGGCTCCAGAAAACGATGGTAGAAACGTAGCCACTGCGCATTGTTCCGTGGACCGCATGAACCGTTGGAAACACTGCCCGCTCTCATTCTCAACATCGGGCGCCACGTCTCCCCCGTGTTCTGACACCTGCGACCCTAGGGTCGCGTCGGCATCCAACAGCCAGTACTGCGGTGCTGGTTGACATCAGTGACCACACTGCTTTACCAACTCTGCATCTCTGCGAGCGGTCGTCGCGAGTGTGGCGCGTGCCCAACCACCGCATCAATGCGAAGCCCGGCGCGCGTATAGCTGCTAAAAGATGCCGTGGCGAGTAACTGATCGCGCGCGCACGTCTGCGTGCCAGCGTGCGCCCGCGCGCGTGCTCATGCTGCGCGTGAATCCAAACGGCTGCTCCATCCTTGCCTCTAAGTTCTACAGCTGCGGTGAGAGCTATGAAATCGCCTGCTGATGTCCAAAAATCCAGCGCAACCGAATCTCCAGAGTGCCACCTATATGGTAGTGGCGCGTAGAGAACTGATGAACAAGCGCGAGCATACGGCCAGGCAGATTGAGTCCAGCCGCATCCTGATATCGACGCCGATTCCTGGAATGATGCCCTCTCGCGGCCTTCCTGCGGGGCCGCAGTGCGAGCATTTTCGCCACTGCAGCGCTGACCTGAGGCTGCATACTTGACGCAAGGGATTCTCGCGGCACGCGCGAGTTTGTCGAGCCTCGGCCAACTTATGGCGAAAATGCCATGCGCAGGTCCAGGACAGGTGGTAGATGTCGGGCATTTCGCACGCGCCACCTTTCGGATAAACCCCAAGGCCGTCGTTGGACTGTGCAGACATCCATAACCATGGTACATAAGCGGTAGCATCAAGCAACACTGACCACCGTTGAAAATCGGCGTCAGTAGTCGGGGCTATGCCCATGGGCGCAAGGCGTGCTACGGCATCTGCAAGCTCATTCAACGAATGAGCGTTGCGTCCCATGACGTGTCTCCAAATGAGCGGCGTAAGCCGTCGCAATGACTTCAGGGCTTCGTCGAAACTCCACGGTAGGCCCCCACGCGACGTATATCGCGCACCCCCTGCGGCCGCTGAAACCACCAACTGGTTATCTGTGAACACTTCGACTGGGAGATTGCAAAACCTTTCGGGGGCTTGCAGCAACCGTGGGGCCAGCCACGGTGCGGCTTGAAATTCAGCAGCGCCTGACGGGCTGGCAACGGAGTCAGCCAGCGCAGGGTCGACGCCGCACAGATACCCGCCACGCATGCATCTGCCCGTCGTCGTAATTGAAGAATACGCACCACGCCCAGGATGGGGGTCAGCCCAGATGATGATGTTTGGACCCTCCGGACCCATCTGCGAACACTTCCAGTCTTACAACCTTGTCGTGCACAGGGGGGGGGCTCCGTGGGCCACCCAAAACTGCGGGCGCTGCTGTGCAGGCACGGAGAAAAAGGCACTGCTCGGGCCCCCTCTGCGGCCCAAGAAAAAGTGGGGTGAGGGGCGAGCTGAGGGGCCGGGGCTGACGGAGAGGCCTGACCAGCAAACTGCAATCTGGAATGGGGCAGCGTGAGCGAGCTGGATCAGTCTCTGTCTGAGACTGAGACGGTGGCGGCCTGGCTGGGAAAAAACCAGCGGCGGGCAAGCTGTGGGATGTTGGCTATGGCATCTCACTTGCCAGCGCTTGCCCGCCAGGCCGCATCGCCCCGGCGCCGACGCCCCCGATGCGCCGCCTCCGCCATCCACGACCAGGAAACTGCCCTCAGTCCGCCTCGGGCCGTGACTGCGACTGCGCCTCTGACGAAAGGTGGCCACTCCAGCTGCGCGATTCTCACCTGCCTCCGCAGCAACTTCGGCGCGTCCGATAGGCGTCGGTGGGACGGCACCTCGACCGCGATGGCTGGGCGTCGCGCAGCCCTTGCTGTCCGTCTGGCTTGCGAGCGCGATCTGCTTCGCGCTTGGCCTTCCTTGCAGCTGCCGCGCGGGCCCTCAGCTCCACGGGCGCGGCCTGCCCGCCCGCCGATGGCCGCGCGCCGATATCGACTGGGGGGTCGACGGCTGCGGCGGCGGCGTGAGCTGCAGCCGCGAGGGCGGCGGCGTCGGGCAGCGCGGCCGCGGCGGCCGCGGGTCCAGGCGGCGGGTCGGCGCGAAGCGCCGACGCGTCAGGGGCGGCGGCCGCGGGCCCAGGCGGCTCAGCGCGCGGCGGCGCCGCTGGCGCGGCCGCGGGGGCCGCTGCGAGGGCCAGCCGCTGCGGCTGCCCCGCGAGGGGCGCCACGCCTGGGGCAGCCCCCATCCCTGCGCCAAGGCCAGCAGCAGCTCGTACTGTAGTCATGTTCACCTGAAGTGTCGTCAGCAGCTGCGTGAGCGACGTGAGCTGTCTGGTCAGCTGCGCTTGCCCCACCTGCAGCGCCGCGATGGCGGCGGCGGGCGGCGCCTGGTCGGGCGGAGTGCCTGGGACTGCGCCAGTCGCCAGTGGCGTGAGCGCGGCGGTCTCCGCGTGCGCGTCGGCGTCCGACGCTGGCCGCATCGCCTCCAACTGGTCCAGCAGCGTCTTGGCCCGACTGAGGGCCTGCTCCAGCTGCGGCACCTTGGACTCCTTTCCTTCTCCTCCAGGACGACGCGGGCATGATCGGCAACATCCTGGGCTTTGTCGAGCTTCACCTGAGCCCGCTGGACGAAGGCTCGCTGTCGATCATATCGCACACCTGGGGCACGAGCATAGAGGCGCATCTGCTCGGCCGTCATGCCGAACTCCTTGGCTGTCTGCAGCCGCTTGCGTGTAGCTGCTGCCATCTGTCTGAGCGAGCGCCTGTCGGCTGCGAGTTCTCGCTCGTCTCTGGGCGGCTCGACCCACGCTGGGTGCAGCTGTGCATCCTGCGGCAGTTCTGGCAGGATGCCAAGCGCTGGGCTTCGCAACTCCTCCTCCGCCTCTGAAGCCTGGCCCTCATCGGACTCTCTCATCTTCTGCAAACCTCACGCGGGATCCTGAACGGGGCCTCGACACACTAGACTAGCGGCGGCGTCTGCAACGAGAGCCTGGGCGCTGGCGAGCATCTCTGCGATTGCTGTGCTCCTGGCGCCGCTGGTACGACTTGCCGCTGCCGTCGTCGTTGTCGTCGTCGTCGTCGTCGTCGTCGTCGTCGTCGTCGTCGTCGTCGTCGTCGTCGTCGTTGTGGCTGGGTAAGCTGCGGGGGAGGGGCATGCATGTACGGCACAACAGGTCGCCGGAACCATTCAAACTGCCACATGCCTGACACCACCAGCCGGGCGGAGGCGGCGGCACACGCCACGGCGCACTCGCTCCTGCAACACGGCCTTTACCTCCTTTGTGTCCGCCTGAGGGCCCAGCTCCGCCTTTGCCGCCTCCTTCCATGAGGCCTGAACTGTGGTGCTCTCGCACCGTAGCTGTGGCGGCGGCCACTCGCAGGAGAGTGCGAGACTGCGCGCGCCGCTCGCGAGCTCGCCTGTGCCAGGCTGGCTCGCGCGCCGTGGGCGCCCGTCACGGGGCGGCGCACGCCGCTTCAGCAGCAAGGCTGGCCCGCACGCCTATGGCAATCCACAGCGCGGGCTGGCGCGTCTGACCGCCCTGTCCCGAGGAGGCTCGCAGCGCGTGGTACTGGGTACCAAGGCGCTGCACCCAAAGCCTCGAACCAGGACGACGGCTGGGAAGGAGAGAGGGAGGGAGGAGGAGAAGGAGGAGGAGGAGGAGAAGGAGGAGGGCGAAGAGGAGGAGGAGAGGGAGGGTTGGGTGGAGGAGGAGGAGGAGGAGGAGGAGGAGGATGAGGAGTGATGGGGGAGGTATGATGAGGAGGAGGTATTTTAGGAGGAGGAGGAGGAGGAGGCAGGAGGAGGAGCAGGGAGGAAGAGGAGAGGAGGACGAAGACGAGGACGAGGACGGGAGGAGGAGGAGGAGGAGGACGAGGATGAGACGGGGGAGGAGGAGGAGGAGGAGGAGGAGGAGGAGGAGGAGGAGGAGGAGGATGAGGAGGAGGACGAGGAGAAGGAGGAGAAGAGGGAGGGAGGGAGGGGATGTGGGCAGGCGGGCGGGCGGGCGGGCGGGCGGGCGGCGGGCGGCGGGGAGGGAGGGAGGAGGAGGAGGAGGAGGAGGAGGAGGAGGAGAGGAGGAGGAGCAGGAGGAGGAGCAGGAGGAGGAGGAGGAGCAGGAGGAGGAGGAGAGAGGATGAGGATGATGATGATGATGTATGAGGAGGAGGAGGAGGAGGAGGGAGGAGGAGGAGGAGGAGAAGCAGGAGGAGGAGGAGAAGCAGGAGGAGGAGGAGGAGGAAGGAAGAGGAGAAGGGGAAGTGGGAGGGGGAGGGGAGGGAAGAGTGAGGCGTAGCGGAGGAGGAGAGAGGAAGAGGAGAGGAGGAGGCAGGAGAAGGAGAAGAAGGAGGAGGAGGTGGGAGTAGGGATGAGGAGGAGGAGGAGGAGGGAGGAGGAGGAGGAGGAGGAGGAGGGGAGCAGGAGGAGGAGGAGGGAGGAGGAGGATCAGGAGGATCAGGAGGAGCAGGAAGAGCAGGAGGCGGAAGAGGTGAGAGGGAGACGGAGGAGGAAGCGCAGGAGCAGCAGGGGGGGAAGAGGAGCATCGTCTCCGCGAAACGTGGCGCGGCCGAACAACAGCCTCGTCGTCTGCGGGAAAACTGCGGCAAAAGGGGCCGCGGAAAACTAACTTCGCCGCGAGGTCCGCCTGCGCAGGCAAAAAAGGGGGCGAGGATGACCTCCTCCTTGTCCTCCTCCTCCTCCTCCTCCTCATCATCATCATCATCCTACCTCCTCGTCCTCCTCGTCCTGCTCCTCCTCCCTCCTCGTCCTCCCTCCTCGTCCTTCTCCCACTTCCTCCTCCTCCTCCTCCTCCTCGTCCTCCCCCATGAGGCGGAGAAGGAGGGAGGAGGACCAGAGCGAACCCAAGGTGTAGCAACAATGCTGCGACACGCCTTGCCGTCCGAAGCCCCGTCTTCACGATTCACTGCTCGCCCTCTTCTCCGCCGCGTGCACGCCCCCTCAAGACGAGCGCCACATAGTCTCGCAAGCTGGACGACCGACCCGCTTTGAAAAAAGAAGCGCCCTCCATCCTTTGAGCTACGAGATGGCACCATATAATAACATCAAAAAGAAATGGCATGCTCAGTGACAACTCGGCTTTGGTAAGTACGTGCCCCCACATCCGCAACACTGTTGCACAGTGTCAAACGTCTGGCCATCGGAGATCGTGAACTACATATACAAAAAAAAACCCTGCTGTGAAAAAAGACCCGTTCTCCAACCGCGTAGTCGAACACAAGAGTTGGCACTCTGGTCTCCAGCGAGAAGCCCATTTTCCACGTTCGCATAAAGAAACCGCCCTCCATCCGTGTATGTGTTGCACATGGTTTGAGATTCTGAGCATGGTCCATAGAAAATTATGTGGAGTAGCCATGTCGTCTCAAACGGAATATTCACTTGTCAAAAGAAGTCGCGGTCTATCCGTGTCACTACTGCGATTTTCTTGGCTATGGCAATGGACGTCGCGGAAGTCGCACGGGAAATTCAAACATTGAAAAGGAACCACACCCCACCAATGAAATTCTTGCAAAAGGAATCACCCTCCATCCGTGTATCGGCTACACACCTTCAAAAGTATACTAAGAATGTGGGACACACGTCAAACGAGAGGCTCATTTTGAAAGAGGAAACGCCCTCCACCTGTATAGATGTTGGCAGTTTGCCGACGAGCGTGCGCAGCACCAGCGCGATAGCCAATTCGGAAACACCACGCAAACCATCCGCGTATGTGTTGGAAGTGTTTCAGGCGAGTGTACACGGCGCCAAGGCGATACATCCATTGCCCTCCATCTGTTTAGCGGCACCAGGGCAAGAAGTCCATTTTGAAAGCCGCCCGCCCTCCATCCGTGTAGCTGCTGGGAACTTTCGCTTCAAGGTCGCGTGCGGTGGCAAACTCTCACGCGAAACGCCGCCGGTCGCGCGATCCTCCTCCTCCTCCTCCTCCTCCTCCTCCTCCTCCTCCTCCTCCTCCTCCTCCTCCTCCTCCTCCTCCTCCTCCTCCTCCTCCTCCTCCTCCTCCACCTCCTCATCCTCCTCCTCGCCTCCCCCGCCTCCTCCTCCCTCCTCCTCCCCTCCGCCCTCCTGCTCCTCCGCCTCCTCTTCCTCCGCCTCCTCCTCCTCCTCCTCCTCCTCTCCTCCCTTGGTCGCGCTCCGCGCGCCGGGGAGGGGGTCTCCAGCGCCGACACAGGACACCCGCGGGGACCTCAGAAAAGTTCTGCTTTAGCGCCGCTTCTTCCGCCTACGCCTCCTCCTCGTCCTCCTCGTCCTCCTTGTCGTCCTCCTCCTCCTCCTCCTCCTCCTCCTCCTCCTCCCTCTCCTCCTCCTCCTCCTCCTCCTCCCCCTCCTCCTCTTCCTCCTCCTCGTCCTCCTCGTCCTCCTCGTCGTCTTCTTCTTCCTCCTCCTCCTCCTCCTCTTCCTCCTCCTCACCCGAACGGGAGAGCTCACGAGCCCCGAACCCTGGACGCCACGTAGCCGCTGCACATGTTCGCGACGCCCCGCGCCGCGTCGAGATACAGCGGCTCCTCGCTGTAGACGTCGATGTTGTGGCGGAACGCGAGGAGGGCCTCCTGCACGACGAGCTCGCACTCCTCTTGCGGCAGCATCTCGCCCGCCTCTTGAGGAGTTTCCTATCGGAGCCTTCTAAGAAGCCTTCTTAGCGGAGCCTTCTAAGAAGCCTTCCTAGCGGAGGCTTCTTAAAGTCTTCTTAGCAGTCTTCTTAGCGGAGCCTTCTAAGAAGCCTCTAAGAATCTCGAAGAAGTCTCGAATCAGCTCCTTAAGATCCTCCTAGAGCTCCCCTAAGGAGCTCTAAGAAGAAGCTGTCTCTAGAGGAGCCTCTTAGAAGGCTTCCTAGAAGCCAGGAGGGCTTCTGAGGAACCGCCTGCCTTCTTGGACCCCCCCCCCGCCTTCTTCTCGCCATCGCTCGGCCGTCCATTCCCCGTGCATGCTTTGATTTCACGCGCGTGCTGCTCCGCAAGATGATCCCATGTGCTCCCCGATGGCCCTCGCCGAGAAAAAGTGCACACGTCCGAGTGACGCCAAATTTTTAGAGGAACAGGAACCGGAAGAAGCATGAGCTTTCGGAACTCCGCGCGGATTTCTTGGATCGGCGCTGGACCCCCCCCTCCTCCTCCTCCTCCTCCTCCTCCTGCTCCTCCTCCTCAACCTCCTTCTCCTCCTCCTCCTCCTCCTCCTCCTCCTCTCTCCTTCCTCATCCTCCTCCTCCTCCTCCTCCTCCTCCTCCTCCTCCTCTCTTCTGCCTCTCTCACCTAAAGTCGTGGTGGTGGAAAAACGGCCCATCATGTGAGCGACGATCAAAACCGGGTCTCAAGCGAGATGACACGGCGACCCTACGCCGCAGCTCACGCGGGCCGCCAGCGCGGCACGCTGCGCCGGAAGCGAGGGCGCTCACGCGCGACCTGTGCAGGGGCAGCTTGCGCGCCAATGTCGGCGCAGACGACCCCATTATTGAGTATCGTTTAACCGATCCCCATCCCCAGCGGCGTGGCCTGGGCCCCTCTGGCCGATTTACCCCCCTAGATGGGGATATAGGCCGTCCCCTTCGGGTTTCGAGGGGTGTATCCCGCACTGGGGGGGTAATTTGGTGGGGGTCTCGAAGGGGACGGGGATGGGGATGGGGGTCGGATAAACGATACTGAGTTTTTCTGCGTCGCCCACGTGTGCTTATGCCGACCCTTCTTCTTCTTCGAGCCTCGTTGAGGCTCGCGTAGATGTCCGAGATGTACGCCCTGCGGCCGCCCTCGGGGAGGGCGAACGCGTAGTGCCTCGGAGTCCCGTGCGCCAGGCCCAGGGCCACGCGGTACGGCGTGGCGAGAGCCTGACCTGGAGGAGCCCAAGGATTGAGGGGCCAATCTTCCACCACCACTGGCACAGGTAGGACGGGGGAGAAGGGAGGATGGGGAGGTCCTCCATCTCCGCTTTGTCCTCCTCCTCCTCCTTCTCCCCCTCCTCGTCCCCCTCGTCCTCCTCGTCCTCCTCGTCCTCCTCCTCCTCCTCCTCCTCCTCCTCCTTCTCGAGACTGACCTGGAGGAGCCAGAAAAATTCCAGACGGATCTCTAAGAGCTAAGAGGCTTCATATTAGAAGCCGGCAGCTCAGGGTAGCCCTGGAGTTCCTTCCAGCGCCGGGCAAGCATCCCAACAACGCCTCCTGTGAGCCTCCAGCGTCTTCCGGAAACGTCTTCCTACTTGTGTCCAATAGGTTTACGGCGAGCCTTTCCGCAGCTCCTTCGACGCTCTTCCTAAGCTCCTTCGAAGCTCCCTTCTCGAGCTTGCAAGCTCCCTAGACACCCATTTCGAGCGTTCTTGCAAGCGTCTCTTGCACACTTCCACGCGCTCTGGACTGCTGCGGCATCCGGGCTCGGGATGCCACGAGCGACCCGACGGCGCCTACGGCAGGTTCGTGTCGTGCCGACTTCTGATGGGCCTGTTTTCCACCACCACCACCGTAAGTTGGAGGGGGGAGGGGGTCCCACGGTCCTCCTCCCCCTCTTCTTCCGCCTCCTCCTCACCCTCCGCCTCCCTCCCCCCTCCAACTTCTGGTGGTGGTGGTGGTGGGAACCAGGCCCACCAACTTCGGCGAGGGCCCCAAGCACCGCGGAGATCGCTCAGCCTCGAACGCTCGGCCGTTCCCGCAGCGCCGGAGCGCCGCCGTCCGAGGATGCCGCGCGAGGCTCCGAGCGTCTGCTGCTCGGAGCCGCTCCCCGGCGCCTGCCGACCCGATGCCGGGAGGCCGCGGAGCTGCGCGGGGAGCCGCTGGAGCGCTGCAGGGCAGGGCGAGTGCAGCTGTGCGGCCATCGCTCGAGGTGCAGGCTCGGGCCGGGCGAAAGGGGGGGGATTGGGAAAGGGGGGGGTACGAAATTTGCTGCATGCAGCTGGTTTCGGCCCCACCGAGGGGGCCATTCCTCGATACATAGCCGCCTCCGGCGCCGGGAGGCGCCGGGAAAATCAGCTACGTGAGCTGATTCTCAAACCCCCCCTTTGCTATCCCCCCCTTTCGCCCGACCCGACAGGCCGACCTGGTTCTTGGACGGGGCGCACAGCGACATACTAGTACCGAACGCCCTCCTTGGAGGTGCGCGCCCGACCCGAACGTGTAGTAGGCCCATCTTGTGGCAGATCGTTTCCCGAGCGGGGTGGCCAGAAAGCGCCCGCCGCGACGCATATACTATGGGATTTCTCGGTGCGCGCGTCGCCCTGGGGGGGCGACGCACAAGTAGTATAAGTATGTTGGGGCGACGCCGATTGGAGTCCGCGGAGCTGCGCAGGGAGCTTCTGGAGAGCTTTAGGGCAGAGCGAGTTCAGCTGTTCGGCCATCGCTCGAGCAGCAGGCCGAGCTCAGGCCTCTCTAGGCTCTGGGCCAATGCTCTCGAGCCTGCCGACGCCGTCGGTGTGATCGAGAGCCCTGCAGCTGCTCTACATCTCGAGATCGAGCCCGTAATCCGAGCGCACACACACACACACACAAAATATGGTTCCAGGGCGGCCTGAGAGGCTTTGATCCCTGCTCCCTGGCGTCTGCCGACCTGCTCCTCGGAATCCGCGGCCCGCGAGGCTTCGATCGCCAATCCCTGGCGCCTGCCGCGCCCCGCGAGGCTCGGCCCGCTGCTCCCTGGCGCCTGCCGCTCTGCTTCTTGGAAGCCGCGGCCCGCGGGGTGTTGTCGCTTCCGCTCCCCCCGGGTCAGTCCTTCGCCCCAGGAGTCGGTGTGGACGGTCCCGGGGCCCAAGAGAGTGGGCCCCAGGGGCCAGAACGAGGGACAACACGAGGGTGGTCGGACACTGCCTTGTTGCGACATGAGAGCAGCATAAACTGTC